CATAACAATACGAAGTTCTTGTGTTGGGAAAAAAAAACTATATATATATATATATATATATATATATATATATATATATATATATATATATATATATATATATATATATATATATATATATATATCCATCCCTGGGGGTGTCTCCTGAACTGAGTAGGTCTCAACATTCAGCATACACTCAATACACATGCCAGGAATGTCTCGTCACAGGCACTGGTGCTGCCACCTTGTAATAATTATTAACTACAGTACCATAATATCTAACACACACACCCACACGAGCTGCATCTCTTTATTAACTACAATATACGGTATTCAGTTGTGTATGGTTTAATAGATTAGCATGTATTCAGTTCATGTCTGTAGTTAACTGAAATTGCTTATACTGTATTATGACCTTTACTTTCCTTGTAGAAATAGAAGTGTGCAACTGTATTGTTACTTTTGCTCCACCCTGTGTACTCAAGTATCACCTCTTTAATTGATTTTTTTAATTTATATATTGCACGATGTAAAAGTTTCTAGAGACGTAACTATGCTCATTAGTCCGCCAGCTTCTCAGAGGTAAAGAGAGAGAGACGAGGACGCAGCGGCATCATCTCGCTAGACTACACACTGTACGGTGCTGGACCAGGAAATTGGTCTCCTTTAAGGCTCTGGTAGCTGCGTCATCCATCTCGCTATGCCGTGCATGTCATGAAGTATATGACTCTACAGATGATGCCATGAAGACGTTCTGCCTTTCTGCAGATATATTTGCATTCACCGTGAATAGCGTTGGCGAGGTGAAAGCAGTCAGTATATACTGTAGTTGTCGATTGAGGCGGGTGACTTGGAGAATTTTTGATGGTCAGAAGGAAGTCTCCGTCTAAGGGAGGCGGAGACACTGACACCTTGAGGATGATCAATCTTTCCTTGGGTTGACGCTTCCTTGAGACTCACTAAGACTGTTTTTCTCCCGTGTTGTAGATCTTCCAGTTGGATTATGAGCTGGTGTGAGCTAGGGTCCTGTGTGTACAGTGGCTATCCGAGTTTTACACTGCAGTGCGTGTTCGTGAAGGATCCTTCCACCAGGTCACTGGCTATAACGGAAGATGAATGAAATACTGACTGAGAGATCTGCGACACTACGTTACCAGATCCGAGCGTTACCAAAACCGTAGCGTAGCGTGACGGGGCGCCACTACAGTGAGTTGTACGAGGGAAATTTCATGGATTTTACTTTTACTTTTACTTTTATCCTCTTCACCACTGATCGGGCTCGTTAGCCGCTTGGGCGATCGGTCACGTCTCTGTTACCCACTGTTGGCAAGTACTGGGCATGCACCGGCTCCTGAATGTACCTGAACCTGCTCCAATGTTGGTCAAGTCTTGTCTTGAAAGAGCTCACACTCGTTGCCGTCACAACACTTTCTGGTAGATTGTTCCAAGAGTTCACAGCTCTCACTCCGAAAAAGTTTGCCCACACAGTTTTCTGGACTTGTGGCTTCTTCAATCTTGATCTGTGACCCCTTGTGGGGCGAGCGTCCGCCAGCTCCAAGTAAGGACACTCGACTGAGTAGTGCCCCTGTAGATGCTTATACACCTCAACTAGGTCACCCTTTGCCCGTCTGTAGTATAAGCTAGGCAAGTTCAGGCGCTCCAATCTCTCAGGGTAGCTGAGGTGCCGAAGTGGAGGCACCAGTCTGGTGGCCCTCCTTTGAACATTTTCGACCAACTGACAGTCCCTAGCACATCTCGGGGACCAGACGGAGTGACAGTACGGTACTCCAGATAGGGAAGCACTTCACTCTTGAAGATCGTTACGAGGGACGGACCGTCTAGATATCTGAACGACCTTCTAATAAAACCCAATAATTTATTTGCCTGATTTACCTTCTTCTCGCAATGGCCCGAGAACTTCAGCTCATTGTCAACATACACACCTAGGTTCTTCTCACATTCAGTCTCAAATAGTGCAGGTTCTTCATCCCTTTGGGACATATGATACGCCTCCTTACCGTTGGTTTGCCCCAGGTGCTTCCTGTTACACTTCGTGACATTGAATCTCAGCAGCCATTTCTTCGACCATTTTTGGAGCCCACAGAGGTCCTTCTGCAGCTCTTCACAGTCTGCTTGGTTCTTGATTTCCCGAAATAACTTGGCATTATCGGCAAACATCCTGCACCACTGTACTCTCTCACTCCATATATATATATATATATATATATATATATATATATATATATATATATATATATATATATATATATATATATATATATATATATATATATATATATATATATATATATATATATATATGTGCGTGTGTGTGTGTCAGATCAGATAATTTGTAAAATTTCTGTGAAAATGTTCCGTGTGATACATTATGACGTGCATTTGTTGTGGTTTGGCTATATTGACCTTGGGTTAATTGTTAGATGAGAAAAGGGGGTTCTCAACCCTCTAACGCATGCGACCGGAAAACTTATTTTTGCGGCCTGCTTGATGACATCCAAAATATGTTATGTGCGGCCAGCCAGGTTGATGAAGTAATAAGGTGACTGGTCTGGGTGGAGGAGAGACCGAGAGTGAATATGCCGGAAGTAGAAATTCTGTAGTATAGAATATGAACTGTAGATGACTAAGGATAGCTATTATGTTCTAGGTCCTAGAGTCACCCTCCTACAGTAGAGTCTAGGAGGATGACTCACTCAATGTTAAATTTTGTATCTTTCCGCTATGGTGGCGTCGCTAAGCGGCTGCTGTGTATAAAACACATTAAGGCCATTGCCCCTTACACATTGTGCGATAACACAGGAGTATTAAATAAATAGCATTTTATATACTGTCAGTAGGTTATTGTCACCCAACTTTAGATACTAGGGATAATTTCTCAAAGCGACACTGATTATTTGCAGTAAAATATAATTATTTACCCTTCGGTTCTCCAGAAAGAGCTACAGTTTTACACCACTTAATATGAAGAAAAGTATCGCTGGCAGTTAACCAATGCACTTTATCATAGTTCTTTAAGTGGCTGTTATCACGGCATTTACTGGCAGTGACACCACACTTTCACATCTTATATTGTGCTCACTAGTTTATTGTTCACCAACGTTTAAAAAATACAATAATACAGAACAGTACAGCTTCAAAACTACATAACTACCAGTGTATTGTTGGACATTTAAGACTGCAGGTTTTAAGATTAGGCTCGTACAATGGAAAAAGTTTGAAGACCAGGTAACATTATGTCAAGTTTGAATAATAGTAATAACAATTATAATTAGGTGAAATTGTCATATACATATAATATGCAGGTGTACAGTTCAGCATGGATATAGGGGCCTTTGTTTTGGCAACAAAATTTCCAGTGGCGGATCTTAAACATTACAAAAAAGGGGGGGGGGGGTTTGGCCATAAGAAAATTCAGATTAATTACCTTATTTACCTAATGGCCACCCACTAGAGGTGGCCATGCTGAGAGAAGGAGGTCACTGACCTGTGTAGTATCCCTCCATTATTTTTTATAATTCTATTTTGGGATATTTTGAAGCCCAGTACTGTTCTTGATTACACACCATGAGCTGGTAGTCTCTTCTATAGGTCTACCAGCCTCTGTGTGAAGAAGTGTGTCCTTATTTTCGTTCTGCATGATAACTTGGCGAGCTTGTAGTCATGTCCCGTCGTGTTGGTAGTGCGGGACATCACAAAAATTGGGCCAAGTTCTCGTTTTCCATCCCTTTCAAGATTGTGAATGCCTCTGAGGTCTGCTCTATTGTGTCTTGTCTGAAGAGCTGTTCTAGGATCTTTATTCCGTTGGATGTCACTTATTGAAACCCATGAAAATAATATGCTATTTTACCCTAAAATTTATATGACCGTTAGTATGGTGACCTGGGACAGTAGGGGAACTTAGAGTGGACGGAAATGAAAGAGTCATGGTAAGAAATTGATCAGCTTGTTCAACCACCGTCGTCAGAGGAAGAATAGGGTAATTGTATGGAGTGTGGCTGGCGCCACTGGCCCGTTATACCGGTCACAAAACTCGGCAATACTAGCACGACGGAACTAGTGAAAGCCAGGTTCCATAAAACTTCCAATGTATATTTAGTTTACATTAATATTTTTTGTCACATTTTTTTTAAAAACCTGTATATCAGGACTTGCGAGTATATGGTTTAGTTCTATAATTTTGAATGCCCAAAGTCATTACTTAGTCATTTGTAGCTATTAAAATGAATTTAATACACGTTGCATTACTCTGCTGCCGATTACTGGTTTATAGCTCGTAAAGTGTCCGGTTACTATATAAAGGGTGTGGACCCCTGTACTAGATTATTCATATAAGATTTGTGAAAATTCCATTTGTCTTAACACCGAGCCAAAGCTGACCTAACCGTAACTTTTATGAGTTAGTTTAATAAATATCATGATTTTTTTTATGTAGCTTGGATAATATACCACATGGCATTTAAGCAATATTTCGTGACAAATATTGTCCACTGATGACAAAAATCTCATAACACAGACAGATGGGGCCCCGTGTGTCACCATTTACACTACTCGTGGTGGATAAGTCTCTCGGTGTAGTGAGTCTCACCAGTGTAAAATACTGTCTCCGCTAAGGTCTTTTACGTCGTATGTTAGTATCTTATATCCTACCTCTTGTTATCTTTGTTGCAGGCGTCATTACTACTGGTGACTGTAACCAACTGCACGCGTCTCACCTCAGATTAGGTTTCAGAAGTTTAGGAACTGTAACAAAGACGTATTCACATTTCACCGCACAACAGCCGTATTTTCATAATAAAGATTTGCGATGCAAAAGAATACTTACTGTATTATGCTTTTCACGTGTATCCAAGATGTATACTATTGTTTGCACTTAACTCAAGTTGTAACCCACCGCACATACAGTACGCTGAAGGTTCAGTACCTCTAACTGTGGGGTGAAACTTTACAGATAACAGAAGAGTAAGGTGTACAGGGAGAAGCGCACCCGGCAACCTTACCTCTGTGGCGTCTATACTCCAACTAGTTCCGCGCCGCGCGTAGTGACAGTGGAGTGCACTGTTGGGTGGCTGCAAAGACTATAGTATTTTTGGGGTGGTGGGAAGGTGTCAACTGTCGGGTGCTTGGTCACTGCACGATTCTCGTAGAGTACAACTTCAAGTAAGGAGTAATAATGATGGACGGGATACGTCTTACGGCCCTCTTAGTTATTTTTACTACAACTGTTAGTAGGACTTGAGATTTTCTTTTGTTGCCGCACCGTCGACAGAGGAACAATAGGTAACCTTGTACAGGGAATCACGAAGGAGTCGTGAAGTCACAGGTGTGTCATGGGAATATATAAACCTTTGTCACGTCATGTGTTGTTGGGAGGTAATCCACGCATCAATGTGTCATGTGACACAACACGTCGTATCTGTTGGCACCATACACCTGATCCTTTATGATCATTAAGCTCCTCTATGCTTCCTTTAGTCTCTCAAATGTTTATTTACATTTTCCCAGCCAGTGACTCTACAGGCTCTGTTGGGTTAATGTCAGCTGTGGTAACTGTATACTTTAGTGCAGTAGAGTGTGAAGTTATGTTTCTTATTCTCCAAGTTCTTCCTCTCGCAGTAATCACGCTGTCTAGTGTTTCCACCCCTGCCTTTGTGTTGACCTTCCCTAAATCCCATTTGATTTTATCGTTTTTTTTAGCATCAGTAATCTAATAATTGGTACATGGTCTGACCCACAGTTTGCCCCTGTGTAGGTCTGACCCACAGTTTGCCCCTGTGTAGGTCTGACCCACAGTTTGCCCCTGTTTAGGTCTGACTCACAGTTTGCCCCTGTGTAGGTCTGACCCACAGTTTGCCCCTGTTTAGGTCTGTCTCACAGTTTGCCCCTGTGTAGGTCTGACCCACAGTTTGCCCCTATGTAGGTCTGACCCACAGGCTGTCCCTGGGTAGGTCTGGCCCACTGTCTGCCCCTGTGTAGGTCTGACCCACTGCCTGCCTGCCTGCCCTTGTGCGTGTGATAACTTTAGACAGTGGAAGGGGAGAGAGTGAGTAAAGGCATAAAGAGAAATGAGATCTACCATCAAACACTTTTACTTCACCGTCTTCATATCCAGGTGTGTTTTAGCTATGATGATGTCGTAAAGAATGACTACACTCGCCATCATCTTGAGCGGGGACGCACTAGACTCGACCACGTCTTAGAGCTCCGGCAGCATAAAATAATAATACTCATATTCTGACTTTCATATGTGCGGACCTCCCATTGTACATAGTGTATCGCCTCCAGTTGGCTAGGCAGTTACAGCATTTAAAGTATCTCATCACCCTGGCGGTGCTCGGGGATTGTTAGGTTAGGCTCGTAGTGGAACACTGACCTTCCATATTAATGACCATCATCGCAGTCCTTCTATCAACACGATCAGCTGACTTAGAAGCCTGAGTGATGATTAAGACATGGGCAGGAGCTCCTACTTAATACTCAAAGGCAATCCTTCATATACAGTACTGTATATACACACACACACGAGATTGCTCAGTGAAGGATCGATTTTGTTTAACTAGAACGACCACCACAAGCGTTAGGTTAGAAAGTCTGTACCAGTGAAAGTTCTCCCTCTTCCTGGCTACTCCTCTATTGTCCAGACTTATTTTAAGATTAATACTATTGTTACCACAGCTGCAGGAGGTGGTGTGCTACAGCTGCAGGAGGTAGTGTGTTACAGCTGCAGTAGGTAGTGTGTTACACCCACCCAAATACCCACTTAACTTTGTCCAAGACCAACGTGGTGACTGAGAAGGTATTGGATGTATTGTTTTAAAAGGGTTTCGGAAAAATTTTCGTCAAATTTGGAACATGTGAAGCATGATATTGTTTCAGGTCTTAGTGAAGCTTTGTGTTGAATCATAGAGTATTAAAGGTGATGTAATGAATAAAACAATTATTATTATTATTATTATTATTATTATTATTATTATTATTATTATTATTATTATTATTATTATTATTATAATATTATTATTATTATTATTATTATTATTATTATTATTATTATTATTATTATTATTATTATTATTATTATTATTATTATTATTATGAAGGCCAGTACTATTTTCGCTTCCATGTATACACTTTTATATGAAAATATATAAACGTTATCCGAGTAATATAATACTTTTGTGGACACTGTGTCTGGGCTTCAACAACTTTTGGTGTGTAAGCACCAGTAATAATAGTCTTCCTGCTTAAGTTACATTAAACGCTGACTCAGTTCTCATACATTTAAGTTGTTGTGTAGTTATTAAAGCACTATGTTATTTATATTAGATCGGTTGCTGCTGATACTGATTTTTGAATAGAGCTTTCATAGTGGATGATACTACAAATGCACTCCAATTTTTACTTTTACTTATTATCTTATTCACCACTGATCGGCTCGTTAGCCGCTTGGGCGGTCGGCCACGTCTCTGTCACTCACTGTTGGCAAGTACTGGGCATGCACTAGCTCCTGAATGTACCTGAACCCGCTCCAGTGTTGGTCAAGTCTGGTCTTGAAGGAACTCACACTCGGTGCCATCACAACACTTTTTAGCAGATTGTTCCAAGAGTTCACAACTCTCACTCCGAAAAAGTTTTCCCTTCGCAGCCATTTCTTCGATCACTCCTGAAGCTCAGAGAGATCCTTCTGCAGCTCTTTGCTGTCTGTTTGGTTCTAAATTTCCATGAATAACTTGGCATCGTCTGCAAACATATGTATGGGGAGTGTATAGCTTCTGGCATATCATTTATGAAACAAACAAACAACAATGGGCCCAACTTGACCAACACTGGAGCGGGTTCAGGTACATTCAGGAGCCGGTGCATGCCCAGTATTTGCCAACAGTGCGTGACAGAGACGTGACCGATCGCCCGGGCGGCTAGCGAGCCGACCAAGAGTCGTGACCGATCGCCCAAGCGGCTAACAAGCCGATCAGTGGCGAAGAGGATAAAAGTAATACACTGCCATGTGGTACCCCGCTTGTCACGGGTACACACACGACTATTTTGTGTCATTAATCATCACACACTGCTTGCGATCGTGAAGATATTCTCCGATGTGATACATTTCAATCTCAAATTCTCTAATATTTCAAGAATGTTTGATTGACCCGGGCGGATCCAGTGGGGTCACCCCTTTTCAAAAAAAAAATTCAATACGTTTTCTTTAATGCTTTGAGGCTTTTTTTGTACAGTAAATAGTAATAAATATTGACCTCAGAATATCTTCTAATATTAAGTGTACATGGCTTCAAAATGGCTTCAAAATGCGCATGATATTGGTCAAATAAAAAAAAAATCTCGAGAAGGAGGGGGGGGGCTTACAGCGCCCCCCTCCCTCCAAAAAACCCAGCTGAGTGGGCTCGCTGTGCTCGCCATGTTCCCCCACCCACATCTTCTTGTGTCTCCTACCTTTTAATATTTCTGGATCCGCCCCTGTGACTAATACAACTACAAAAACATCATAATTTTTCAATTGCTTGTAGAATGTTCAAATTTAGTGTCACTTGTTGCTGAGATCACCAGTCAAACACTGGTTATATGTTAGGATAGCTTTCCTCATGAGTATCTCGTTTTTTATTTCTCTTAGACATACAGAAAACGTGACGCATAATGTTAGAGACACTGCAGACTAGGCAATAGTAGTCAGTCTGTCAGTACTGTCTTGGAATCATGGTGCGCGGATCACCACCTCGCTGCGTCACTATTATCAGTTGTTTACGTGAATACTAAAAGAGTTTTATAGATTTTTTAACGCTTTGTTGTGTACCCGCGAATAGCCGACAGCTGCAACCTTTGGAAAACAAAAATTGTGGAGACGAGGTTTTATGACAATATTCCTATTAGTACAGTAGTTTGGTGATTTTGTACGGAAGGGCGTCTTCTACTTGAAGATCGTCATTCACCTACAGTCAAATCACACTATCCTTTTTGCCACTGATCAGCCACCACCTACTATAATAGTGGGCTGATAACATGTGAGGTGATACATTAAGAAATTAGAAATTAATGAGTTATCTCACTGTCCGTGGGAAAATTAAAATCATACAAAAGCACTTGTTCAGGTGTGATGGAAGGTTATGGTGAACCTCTGTAGAAAGGTGAGTCGCTTTCTGTTTCTAATTAGATAATCCTTGGCAGCGAGGAAGCAAAGTTTCACATTAGTAAGAACATGTTTTTGGGTCATTAATTCTAGGAATGGTTTGTTTTACTTGGGATTTCTACAGGAACTTCGATATTAATGAGTACCATACATATAAAGTGACGCAGTAATAGGTAACGCAACTGAATTTACTTTATAAAATGACAATTGGGCCATGACCCTCCTCGCACTCTGCACTTGGCAATTTGACGTAACTAATCAAGAAATGTTGCAGCGTGTGGCAGGAGCGGACTACTAAGTATTTGTTCTGTTGATAAAATAATGTTTAGTTTTCTTGTTGTATCCGTCAAATTAGGCGAGTGGCCGATATGTTGTTTCGTAAATAAATGACGGCAGCATTTTCCTTACTCCGCTTGTATTGTCCATTATAATAACCAATTTAGTAGGAATCCAGATGAAATTAAACCATTATTAAGGCGGTGGCTGCAAAATATACCTTAAACTTTATTCCTGTTTTGTCCCAAGTGAACAGTAGAACGCATTGGATATATTTTGAAGTAATCTAAAGAGGAAGGTGTCATCAACGTATCTACGGTAAATTATTGGCTTGGTGTGGTCAAAGTCTATAGAAGCCCCTGGGTGTGGTGGGGTAGTCGTTTGCCCATACGTGTTCATATTGGCACACGATTCATTAACGTGGGACCTGCTGTTGGCTTGTGGGTAATACTTTACACCTCACTCATGGGAAGGGGACACTTTGGGAAAATTTCTATAAAGGAAAACTTGTTTTTTTCCTTACGAATAGAAACAAAATGTGTTGAGAAATTAAAACGTTCTTATTATATTTTTTTCAATAGTTTCATCCTCAACACGGTTCTTGACACACATCTTCAGGGAAACCCCTAATTGTTGGTTTAGGCTG